GATTAAATCAGTAAAATCAAACTGTAATATTCATGATATTCATACAAAGATGTTAATGATAGTGGTGATACACATGTCTATTGCATGCATCTATTGAATTACAGTGTGAAAGAAAGACTCAAAGATTGTAACAAAAAAAATGAATTAAAGTGAAAAAGCTGATGCAGTATCAGAACCGATTGCAATTACAGTATTGATTTTGAGATAAATTTGTAAACAATACCGCGAGGAAAATAAGAGTGATAGTTATGTATTTAGATGTAAAAAAGATAATCTTATAAGTACCTGACACTATGACAAGAAGAGTGAGTAGTTTTGCCCACCGTAAATGAGTCAGTGGGTCCTTCCATCTTTGAGAGCTTGACATAGCTAACAATATAGGGTGTGTCTAAGTCGTAGGTCAAATATTTGAGGCTTAGAAAGTTGGAGCCCGACTTTGGCCTAAGCCATAAACAGTGTAAATAAATGTAAGGAATGTCTTGAAATTACTCGATGTGTAGTTTTATGGCAGTCATCAATCATATAATCGGAGAACCATACACAAAGTCTGTAGAGACACTAGACATTGAATATTGCTAGTCACGCACTGTTTAGAGCTGTATGATTGTGATTTGCTGAATAGAAATTAAGATAGTTTACGAGGCAATGTTAAAGGAGAACTTAACATCCGCTGTTTGTTCCTTGCCCTTGTTATAAGTCTCTTCTTCTTCGTTGTTTCTACGAGCGTCGTCCAGTTACTGAGCTGCGACTATTGTATTATTCGATTACTTGTAACCTTAGCGATTGTAAATTTGATAGGTTCCGTAAAAATTTTCATTTGATGGCTTCAAAAACTTTATAAAATATTTATTTAGAGCTTTTGCATTATATACCAGATATATGACGTAAGCATGAACCTTTGTTAGTTTTACACGCAACAATAAATTGCGGTGCCAGTAGAGCGGAATTATCATATCTTCAGAAAATGATGCTGTTGCTTGATTGTCATCTTTTTTTTCCAACTGGCGTTCTTTATCGAAATTTCCATAGTTATGATAAATTCTTAGAGAATGGGTTTTGGTATTATTTTGTAAAAGTTTTCCAATTATTTCAACCAGCATTGTACAAGACGGTCTGGATGTCGGCTCTTCCTCCCAGCAATGGAGCATAATATTATGTCTAA